AATAAATATATTTATATGTATTGTATAGATATAATTGGTGAGTATTTGATTTTAGTTTATATTGATTTTCATTTTAGAAGCATTTATCAAGTGGAAAAAATATCGCTCTTTTATATACATTTAAATAAATATTGTAACGGGTTCAATTTGTCATTGGCTACTTCGACTTATGTTTCTCACATGTAGGTTAATAATGCTCGGAGACTACCTATTAAATGTTTTATTCTCACAATTATACACTGTCTTAATCCTCAAAGCTACTGGTATTGCTAATTATTCTTCACTACTTCATTCTGTTCGAACACACTGTAACTGTTTAATTGCTTGGTGTGGTTTGCCTGTCCTAAAATAAATGTAAATAGGTGTAAGCCCTTGCATTTTTGCTGCAATTTAAGATGTTACTGCGGCATGCGGTCGGATTGCACGAGACGATCGTCCTGTATTCCTTCTTATTTCCGAACTAAAGGCAATTTCTATTCTTGTCCCTTGCTTTCATTTATTTACACTTGTTGCTTTTTGGGGTTATATTTCAATCCTCTGTCAACGCGGATGCACCCGGCCATTAGTACAGTTAAGCACTCGACCTTTGGCACAAGTTCGTCTTCGATTTCCTAAGACGTTACTGTATAATCTCATTCATGTGTGTGTAATAATTGATTATTATTGGTAATAGCGGGTAGTAGTTAGGTAATATTTGGTCTCCTTGCGTTGATTAATTTCTGTCATTATTGGCCCATTGACCCTAGTGGTGTCGGAATCGAACATCGTATTGCCAGTACCATCGGTCTCTTTTTTTGGAACTTTGTGAAACTTCATCGGTCTTTCTTTCTTTGGATTTACGATTTCCGCCGGTGCAAGTGGTTGCAAGATTTCAATCCGAATAAGTTTGTGGCACCTCGTAGTTTTCGAGGATTAAACCGGATTGAAATCGTATAGAAGTTGCGGATCGTCGTCTTGTTGGTAGTATTTTGCTTGGACGTCCCCAACATTATAGCTTAGGCTGGATTAAAGCTAACCAACCTAGCACCTGGCACTCTTCACAGCCACCCACGATCATCAGGCGTAAGTTTCATAATTTATTTCACGCTCTGCAAGTAATTATGAACACCGCAACTCATTATTTTGTTTTGTAGGGTTTTGGTTTTGGTTTTTCTTTTGGAACCAGTTTTTGATTGTTGGTCTGGTTTTGGCTTCCCATTTGGTACTGGCTTCCCTAGTTCCGGTTCAATTAGATTTGGTGCCTCCTTACTTCGTGGCACGTGTTATGAATTCTGCAACCCAAGAATTCGTCAAGTCTTCAACTTAGCTCGGTTCAGGACGTTGCAGTGCATATCTCCTCGTCCAAGAGTGATAAGCATTCGTGCCTATCCCACTAACTGGTGAACCCGTAGGCAGTATACAGAACAGCCATTTTAGAGCTTGCCCGACTCGTTCGTTGCTGGTAACTGGAGGATCACAGATAAGCCTCTATTTACGATCCGGTTAATTTTATGCCTGTTGAAAATACAAATTTCAATTTTTAAATATCAATATAAATTAAAGAGCTCAGTTAGGGTAAAGATAAAGTACACAATTGTACAAAGTACAAATATGTCAAATTTGGTTTCATACCCGCTATCCACAATGAGCCTTTTTGTCTTTTATGCCACCAATGCTTGAATCAATGAAACGAGGTCGTCTCGAGAAGCATTTGAAGAGTAAAAAACATCGTGCTCAAATTAATTCAGATTTGAGTTACTTTAAAAGTTTAAAGAAAAATTTTGAAAAAAGAACAACTTCAACAAAATCGTCTTACTGAGGCTAGTTATCAAATTCCTTTATTAATTGCTAAAACTGGAAAAAATCACACTATAGGAGAGAATTTGATAAAACCGTCAATATCAGCACTTCTTAAAACTAAAAGCTATGCCACTCAGTAATAATACTGTTAGTAGAAGAATAGACGAAGTGAGCGAAAATATTGAAAGACAGCTTGTTGAAAAGCTGAAAACAATAAAATTCAACATTGCGAGACAGCGAGGCAGGATAACTTATGTAAGATATGTTGATGCAAGACATTTTGCTGAAGAAATGTTGTTCTGGAAAAGATTAGAAAGGACACTACCTCGAAAAATATATATAATAAATTAAAAAACTACTTAGATGTCCATGATATACCAATGAAAAATATAACACTTTGTGCTGCAGATAGCGCCCCTAATATGAAGGACAAGAAAAATGACTGCTTAAAATTGATGAAAGATGCGAATTCATAAATGATTCTTGTGCATTGTGTTATGCATGGGAAAAATTTGGTAGTCAAAAATACCTCGCCTGTTCTGTGTGTTAACGCCATTAAATTTAGTGCCGAATATGAGCGTCTTTCCAAGTTATTTTGTGGATAGCAACATAAAGACCATGCGAGACTTTTACGTTGAACAGTTTCATTGGCTGTGTGTGAAGTAACTGATAGCGCTTATTGTCAATCGTTTAAATATTCTGTCCGCTGATTAAAAAAAAAGATTTCTGATTTCAAACAAATTGGATGATGTCTGATATATCAAATATGCAATATCAAGAAGAACTCGCAGAATTGCAATGAGTCAGTAAAAATTTTATTTAATATAAAAGAAGCGACATCATGGCTTTGTGAAGAAACTTTAACTAAATACCCAAATGCAACCAAAAATGCAAGACAACTTTTACTACCGTTTTCATCTTCATATATAGCCGAGTGTGGGTTTAGTGTTGTAAATAAAAAGAAGTTATCAACTGGATATAAAACAACGTGAAGACTTGAGATTAAAGCTAACTAAATCGGAACCTAATATAAAATCTCTCTGCAGCATCAAGCGCATGGATCGCACTAAATTGATATAGAAAATTTGTATTAAAATTATTTTGAATTTGAATTTCACTTTTTTATTATCTGTTTCGAAATATTTTTTACTGTTTTTTGATAGTAATTTCATAGTGACGTCTTCCTAAAACCTATCATTAATGTTTCTTAAGTGAAGAAATCAATTTTTTAATGTTAAAAATTATGTATGAGGCGCATTCAAATTTTAGAACTGTTACAGTGTGGCGTGGCACGAAAAAAGGTTGGAAAAGACTGACCTACACGGTTTATACTAGGGCTTATGTATGTTTATGTATCTCAATAAGTCCGAAACAGAGGGAAAAAGTTAAATACAGAAAGTGTTTGACCCTAAGTAAATTCTGTTTACTTGTATTACTTATTATTAAACTTCTGGATTCCTCCTGCTTCGGTTTTTCTTGACTCGAACTTGCTAATGTTTCGCCAATCATCCGGTTGGCTTCTTTAGAGCTTGCCTGGAACTTGACAGTCATGTTCTGAAGAAGCCAACAGGATGATTGGAGAAACGTTATCAAGTTCCAGCTGGTTACTGCCCTAGCACAATCGAATGCATAAAAATACTATACATAAAATATAACCTTGGGGTCAAACACTTTTTGTATTTAATTTTTCCTCATTGTCATATTTATTGAGATAAGGTATAGGAGCATTTTAAATGGACCATCCTGTACACAAACCAACTGACCAATCAAATTATGCTGTTCGTTGCAAAACTATTTTATTTACTTTTACATTAAAAAATCCTAACGTGGCGCATTGCATTTATCCCAAGATCCATTAAAAAACACCGCTTTCATTGTCCCGCCAATAAACACTCACCTAGAATTATAATGAAGCTGTATAACAAAGAGCTAATAAGGTATAAAGACAGGTGAACAACACTTCACAAAAATTTTAAAAATTGGTAAGATTATAAAAACAGCCATTTATTAGAAACTAATTTATTTTGATTTTAGATTTCTTAAGCGTTTCTTCGTTATTAGGCAGTAGATTAAAAGTTTTTATTCTCATCGAGTCCCAATTGCAAGTATTCTAATTGATCGTTTCACTATTTAATGCAAAAAGGCGTTTGTTTCTAAAAATTTGAATACTGAATAGTCCGAGAATAAGAATATCGGCCAAACAATCAACAATTCAAGATGCCGAGGAAGATAGCTTTTGCTGCTATTTTAGCATTTTAGCATGGTTGTTAACAACAAAGTTCGTTTCTTGGGGGGAGTATGGAACTGCATATAATTTGTTTTAGTTGTGTTAAAGTCTCAGTTTAAGTACAGCGAATATTAGTAGAACCACTTAAATAGTTTATCAAAATTTGCATTTATTTTTACGAACTGCCACACAATTGGGGTCCAAATGTTCGATCGCCAAACGAGTTACGAGCTAATTTTTATAACGTTATTTTGAAGCTAATATTTTTAGTTTTCGCACGCTCTTTAGCTCTGTTTTGTTGGTGCTGCGTTAAAAGTTTAAATGGTTATTCCGTCCTTGTACTTTAGTCACGCGTGTGGGAGCGATCGAAAATTTTAGCCACGGATGTTGAATATGAATGTATTCGTGCTGTTTTGCAAAAATATACAATTTTGAGTGATATGAAATGAAAAATAGCATAATTATTCACTGCCCTCACATAATTTTCCACTTCTACTTTAATGTGCATTCTATGTTTACCCTTTTAAGGGGTAGGCAAGGGGAGAAACATGAAACTGAGCAAACACCACTACGGGTATTCGATCGCTCCGCGATAACCAACCCCCGATGGGAACGTATTTTCGTTCAAAAACCGGATTTGATATCCAAAATCTTCACTGACAATCACAATCAAACGCTTGTGGTTCCAAGTCACGAATATAATGTTAAAATGCTTTTCAGACTTGATCGTGTTTTCAGCGGCGATATTTGTTTATGTTTACTCTTGTGCATACCAGCAAAGCCTCTAAAAGTATTCGAAATGGTTTGGCGTGCTGCCAAGCCAAAAGAATTCCATAATAATGTGGAATATTTATAATTTTCCCGAGGATGCCGAAGACATGAACTAAGCATAGGGGAAGGAGAGAATATTTTGAACGTGTTAAGAAGCGGTTCGATATTTATATTCCGGAGTTGTCAGATTAACTCTAAAAATTTTATTTGTTTTTCGTTTCAGAACGGTATGCCTCTTTGGGAGGACCTCATTGCGAAAGCTACAAAGTTACATTCCTCGCTGAGGTAAGTAGTCCCGTTATTTGTCCAACTCGCTTCCCCATTTTGCGCGAAAACGTTAGTTGAGGTCTTAGATGGCCGATATTTAAGATAGTTTATCGTGTTGAACTACAGTGACTCACAGCTTAAATGATGCAGTCGCTATAACAAAAACTAACTGGTCTGAATGTCTCTTTATTTATTTGGCAAAAAACAACTTATTGAAATTAAGTTATTAAAGAGCCTTCTAGAAAAGTGTGAATTACTTTTTGTCTTAAATATGCCTTACTTAGTTAACAATGAAGAATTAATTAAATTATATGCAATATTAACGTCACAGCTTAGACGATTCAAAAATAATAACCGGGGTCAAAACTTATCAATTTGAAAATTACATTATTTATTACAGCAGTTGTCATCACAGAAATGGATACAGTCAAAGAGACATAACCAAAATGGTAAATAAATGTCTGTCAACTGTTCTGCATATCGTTGAGCGTTACTGTAACGAAAATAGGGTCGAGAATAAGTCAAGGTTAGCTCCAAATAAGATCTTCAGTGAACGTGAGGAAAGATGGATTGTAAGAGAGGTATCGAATTATCCAAAAAAAAAAAGTGCTCCAAAGACGTGTGTCGAGGTGGAAAGACAGTTTGGAAAAAGGTGTAACCCCGCAACAATTCGACGAATCCTGCGAAAAAATAATTTGCATGGTCGAACTGCAATAAATAAGGCTTGCATTAGCCGAACAAATAAATGCGTGAGATTGGCATTCGCTAGAGAACATATCGATAAAGATTTAAACTTTTGGAATTCAGCAATATTTGCTAAAATTAACTTTTTTGGATGGGGAAAGCCAAAGGAAGAATTAAAATTGAAAAATTTAAAAGCTACGGTAAAACACGATGGAGGTGAACATCACTCCATGGGGCTGTATGTCATCTGCAGGAGTAGGTAATATGTATTTCGTTGAAGGAAACGTGAACTAATATGTGTATTTGGATGTGCTAAGACAACATGTGGTCGCTAGTGCCCAAAAATTAAATATGGGTAACAATTATCAATTCTATCATGACAATGATCCAAAGCAAACGTAATTTCGAGTCCGCAGTTGGTTGCTTTACAACTGCCCAAATGTTATTAAGACACCAGGCCAGTCACCAGACTTAAATCTAATTGAAAATTTGTGGTTGACATTAAAAAACAAAGTAAGTAGTGACCCAATATCTAACCAGAATGAATTAAAAGTAAAAATTACTGAAGTATGCAACACAATTTCCCCGGAGTATACTAGAAAATTAGTTGAATCAATCCAGCCGTTATCGATAATAAGGGAGGCCTGACTAAATATTAATGCAATTATGCAGTTGGTTTTCTCTATTGATTGGGTTATATATTGTTTTACATCATTTAGGCTGTGACGTTAATATTGTATACAATTTTATTAACTCTTTATTGTTAACTAAGTCAGCTATATTTAAGACAAAAAGTAAATCACACTTTTTTAGAAGGCTCTTTACTAACTTAATTTCAATAAGTTGTTTTTTGCCAAATAAATAAAGAGACATTCAGACCAGTTAGTCTTTTAAGCTGTTTGTCACGGTAGGAAGAGAAAAGAGATGACTGGTAGATACAAAAAAAATTAATGACTAAACGGGTTAAGCTTTTATTTAGACGTAATAAGAAAGATAATGATAATTTTATGAAAAAAAAGTATATATTAATATAGGTGCGCAATCGCTTTGTTTTGGATATCTTGGGCAAGGTGTTGAAAATAGAAAAAAACGAGTTTTTCTTGAAATTGCTTTAGATATGTAGTTGATTGGTAAAGGCCCGTAATGCATAGAAACAATTTTTTTTAACGAAAATTATTCTTTTACTTTCGCCAGTTTCGTTATGGTAAGCATGGTACTGAATAATCACGTTCATATACTTTTTACAAAACTTCTGGATTCCTCCTGCGTCGGTTTTTGCTGAGTCGAAATTGCTGACGTTCAGTCAAGCTCTGAAGAAGCCAACAGGATGATTGGCGAAACGTCAGCAATTTGAACTCTGCACAAAGCGACACAGGAGGAATCCGGAAGTTTTGTAAAAAATATTACAGTAGCCTGAAAAATCAAGTTCAAAGTTAAGAAATCATTTTTACTAAGACATGAATCGAGGTATTAAAAATGAATTTATTTTTGGAAAAAGCGGTGGCCATCATATTTTCGATATAAATATTCAGTGTCACGCTTAAATAGACTCCACTGGTGGAAGTAGAAAAATAATTTTCAAAATTTCAAGAAAATATATGAATCAGTTTTAATTAAAATGAAGAAATCCCGTGTTTTTCTTAATAAATCTTGTATAATGATAGTGTAACGGCATTTTACCTGCTAAACTTGGCAGAAACTGGGTGAAAAACAAAAAAAAAACGCGCTACTTTTCGGACGTTAAAGCAAGTTGAAAAAGTATGGCAGATACGGGTACCATAGCTCTATAGCTTGTGCCAAAAGAGTGGATATAGAGTGTAGCTTTTGAAACGACCATTTGTGTTCCAGGGCGACGATCCTCGCGGTGACGGCCTATTTGGACGCGTTCCAGAAGATCGCGGACAGCGCGACCAACGCGCGAGGTGAGTGTCACGAAACCGGTTTTTGTCGGTCGCAAAAATGACGGACGCATCATTTGCTAGACACCCGGAATGTAAACATTCGGCGCCACATGTTGGCAAACGACGCGATCACCACGCAATGTCCGATTCATAAACACCTAAAAATTCCTAGTTCTTTTTTATTTCGTTCTATTTAGGTTCGGATATACTGGGTGTTTTTTAAGTTGTTTTCTAAACCGACTTCATTATCAGATAGCGAAAAGTGTACCGAGGGTTCCAGCAAGAGTAACGAGGGCAAATGGTTAATGAAATGATAATATACTAAATAATTGTGAACGGGTAACGATTTCAAAGAGTCTTAATGTGAGCTAGGAAATGACGAAATTTAACTTCAATTTTAAATATCATTTGGCAGCCGAAATAATAAATTTACGTTAGTAAATTTGGAACAATTATATAATAATAACAACAGTGGAAATGCTTATTTCCAACATTCAATCCCAATTTGAGTTCTTTCATTCATATTTTAGGATAGGATGAAGATATTGATATTAGTTGTTGATTGCTCATTTGCCTCTATAATGACGTCAAAAAAGTCTTACATTTTCTTTTAGAAAACTATTTGTTTTGCAATTATCCAAGAAAACACACACAAAAGCCCTTTTTAACGAATCGAAGTTCATTGAAATGTACTAAGTTTCTTGGACTCAAACATTTATTTCAGAAAAAATGGATTTAAAAAATCAAAATTTTCAGAACTTTTTTTCTTTTCCAATTCACTTTTTTTTTCTCCTAATAGTCCTCAAATTGACACCTGGTATAGAGGATGTCAGTAGCGTAAAAAATATTTCTTAAGTGTCGTCTAATGCCACTGGAACTAATAATTTGAATCGGACCACTGAAACACTATTCGTTAAAAATTGGCAGGGTACTTTTTTAACACCTTTTAACATATGATATATCCAGGTTCTTTTCTAACCGTCGTCAAATGCAACGGGTGATTTTTAAAAGGTAGAATGCGACAAGTTTTAAAAAATTATTAATAATAAATATTCAATTAGAATAATTTCTGTATGACTATGAAAATAATGATCATGGACCCACATATATGCATGAAAATGCCATTTTTTCTCTTTCTCGTTGCCAAATTCGTGAACCACCGCTCAGGGCCTCACTGCACTTGACTCTAGGTAGCGCTAAATTATACCCTCGTCACTCGAAGCATTCGATAAAAATAATAATAATAAAATTAAAAAACTCAATTTTAAAAGTGAAGCGAAAATTTGGAATTGAGCAAGACGTGTATACTGGTCGAAATTTTATGACATCTGCATTAACTACTAGGATCTGGTGAATACAAAAATCACAACAAAGGGAGCAAGCACGGAATAATAAAAGGTTGCGTTTTGATGAGGGGAACGAACTGCTTTGCCTTTTTAACCGTTCGGAACGGAGGGTAATTAGCAGCTAAAAGACGGCGACGATATAATCATCATCGTCATCCGCGCGTTGAATTAAAGAAAACGTGAAAAGAAAAAAAAACACTGCGATTTCGAACCGGACCCGGCACGCTCTGATTCCTTGCGACGATTTTCCGCGAAACCGAGACCATTCGTCGGTCGTAAATTGCACACATTTATGGACGCCGAAGCAATGTCAGTGACGACGCATTTTGGGTGTTTGGACAGTTTTGATGATCAATAATGGGAAAACTAAAAATGTTTCCTGTTCATGGGTATTGTAAAAAATGGGTGACTCGTTTATTATCTCAGAATCTGTAAGGAATATCAAAAAAACTTAAAGACAAAAGTTGTCTGAATTCTTTTATACTTTAAAAATATATTGCTATATACACGGGGTGTTTCATTGTTCACGGCGGGCGTTTTACCTCTTCGATGTCCGGGTCGTGAAAACAAAAAGAAACATATAAATTAATAAAATTTGAAATTTGTTAGTAAAAGCTTGCTCACTAACCAACGAGAAAAATTATTAAAGTAAAATATTACCAAATAGAATATAAGCTCAAGTTGGAAGGCGGTGGAGGGTACGCGATTCAAAAAAAAATTATTCTTGACACGAGGTTCTTACCCGAAGAAATAAACCAAATGAATCACGAAAAATAATTCATTTCCTACAAATTCCTGCTTGGGCAAGGATTACAACAGTAAATAGAATAAATTGAGCAAAAAGGTAACGTCACGACTCACCTTCAAGTTTCGGCGGTACAAAAGACTGTGTTCTTAAAGAATTAATGAATTATATATTTAAATTAAGAATATAAATTCCGCATAAAGTTCTTGAAGAAAACAAGTCACTTATGGGAGGATGTAGCACTTAAGCTATCCAAAATCAAGCTCTATTGTTGGTCTGGTATCCCAGTAACCAAGCCTCAAGGGTGAGCCGAATCAGATAACCCAGTAATGTCGGTCAGGAAAGCTGGCTACTCGTCAGGGAAAACTCGACAACCAAGCACATACCTATGAGACAGCATACACTGCAAGACCAACTCTAGCGAAGCTCTCTGGTATTCCGATGGAAGGAGGAAACCACGTTGAAAAATTATCGGGAAAACGAAACAAGAAAAAAAAACCCTAAAATAATAATAATTATAATAATTAGCATAATTACATTGAAATGGTGTCATATTATTCTGCACTATATGGTTCTATAGAAGAAATAAAATCGGCATAAATTGAGGAGCACGAATTAGGTGGCAAAACGCCTCCAAAACTAACTTAACTCGATTCGAGGGTTTCCAAACTCCAAACGGATCCAAAAGGATGGGAAATCACAAATTACTACCGGCTCAAAAAAGAAATCGGTCACACAAAAGAAAACCTGCCACCGCCCCAAGTTTCACTAGAGAGAGTGCAAAAGCCGGACGGTCAGATAACCAGCTTTATTAAAAGGCCCAACGGGCACAAAAAACTATAGGGAAAACACCACTCTTGCCAACCCAGTCGATGGTACGTCACCAGTAAATCGAACAACCGAACTCTATGTCGTTTTGGCCGTGTGACCCGTGCCAAAGAATGGAGGTTGGGTCAACGAGAACGAACTACTCGAACGCTATCTGTGGTGGCGACCGGACGGCCAGTCCCAGAGAATCGAGGAAGAATAGGATAAGAAAACAAAACAATGTTTATCAGGCCCCGTTAAGACCCGATGAGGAATACCGAAGTAATGAAACCCAAATGTCGCCTAAAGTCTCAAAGTAAACCGGTGCCACCTAAGAGAAAACCGAGCGAATAAGGGGCCAAGCACCCAACCGTTGCAGCTTAAAATATTACAAGAGTACAAGTCCGAAACTTAAGAAACCTAGTCTACAAAACAAGGAGTGGTTGTACTGTGTGTTAAAATCGCAAAGTCTCGCCAAACAGTAAAAAGTGAAGGAAATGAATAGCACAATTAATTCTATAATGTACTTATAAAATTAATATTATGATAAGAAAATTATTACTAGATCCAAACAAAATAAACCCATTACTTCGCAAATGTGCCACTTTACTTTAAAAATGCTAAATTTCCCCATTGAAATATGAAACCGTCACAAACGGTCTATTGGCTTGTTCTGAAAATTTGGTTAGTTCCATAAATGGCAATGCTCTATCGATCGACAACATTATAGCCAGAACATGCAGCAAATTTAATGAAATATATCCTATATTGTTTTCTTTTGTTGCATTGTCCATGTACCATGTATAATAAACAATTCATTAACAGAGCATTAGATTACTGCTTTCCTTCCATTTTGAACTGTCAACCGGAAAAAGAATTATTTAACATAGAACGGATATTTCATAGCTACCTAAAAGATGAATTATGCCAAAATAATCCTGTTTTCAGAGAAACTTGCTTTTATTTGAGAAACCAAACGATTTAGGTGTTAGGTGTGGACATTCGAAAGGGAATTTAATTTGCTCTTAGAATTTGTATCTCGCAGGCAAACAATTAGTTTTAACCAACTCTGTGTGCTATAGAACTAATTTCGATGTTAAGAAATAATGTACGGCATCTCCCAAAGCTACTAACTAACCAAAATTTAAACTTTCTACTGGCTCCAGTGTTGGTTGAAAAATACAGAAAATAATTAATTTCTCTAAAACCATTAAAGATTATAAAGTTTTAGCGGATCGGAATATGCAATAATATACATAGTGTCACATTTAAAATTTCAATGTTGATGCCAAAGTCTTTAGAAGACCAACCACGTTTCCCAATCGAAGACCAAATCATTCATGTTGATGATGTATCTTTATCTAGTCTGATAACAAAAATTGATCTATCGCTTTCGAATAGGCTTCTCCCATAGCTTTTCCGATGTATATAACTGTGTAAATTCTATTGCACCAATAAGTGTCGAGACTGGGCGTGTGTAGTCAACCATGTGCAATACTTTTCTGCTGGTATACTATGTTTTTAATTGCATAAAACCTTTTTATTAGTACCTTTAAGGGGTTGATAATAAAGAGTGTTATTATTGTTTACAATGCCGCAATCTTGCGGATCCGTGGAATTGATGTCTTTAATACCGCGTTTTTGTAGGATTGAGGTTTTGGTGTTTGATTCGATATTTTATATAAATTAATCTATACCTAAGTGTTTCCGTCTTTTATATATTTTTAATTTCATGTTGTAAGTAATGTTTGCCGTTTTAAATATTTATATCGATATGCATTGGTCGATATCTGTCTATCGAACTTTTGTTATATATTAGGAGTTAATTTCCTTATAAAAGGTATACTTTAGTGATACATGTTGCTATTTAAATAATAAATAAATACAGGGTGGCCAAAAACTAGCATTAAAAATTTGAATGAAAAAAAAACGGTAAGTCTATAGTATAGTTGTAAATTTCGATATAATAGTAATAAAACGTTGTTCTGTTGTAAAAATGCTAGACGGCTATTAATTGACTAAGAGCATAACGGCGAAACATAGTAGAAAAAAAACAAAGGGACAATCTTTTATAAATAATGCCTGGTAATTAAGTGAAAATTTGTTTAATTTCTAAAAATGGAAGAAATTTTACCAAAAATCTCATTTTACAAAATAAATATGAACTGAAAGTTCAGATTTTCACGAAATTGTATATTTTCACATGACAATTGTTTCGACAACACTGTCTTTATCAAATGTGTTGTGAAAATATATAATTTCGTGAAAATCTGAACTTTTAGTTCTTATTTATTTTGTTAAATGAAAGTAAAAGCCAACTCAGTTCAAATCTCATTTTATATATTTTTTCTGAATGTTTCAAATAATACTTTGTTTTTAATTGGTTTTATTTACTACTACTTTTTTTCATTACTTAGGTAGTTTTCTGTTTTGGAAAAACGTTTTAAAGTTTTTTGCATTAAAATTCATAACTATAGCATTAAAAAATGACAAAATTAAGTGGTATAAAACTGTCAAAACATTGATTTGCAAACAGAAAGAGAGCCAAAAATGACGTTTTCTGCGTCATAGCATTTTCACAATGAAAAACGAAATCTACAACTTTTTTATATAAAGTTTACAGGGTTAGTAAAAATTACAGGGGCACTTAAATATCTCTAAAACTGCCAAAACTGGAATGATAAAATTTAATACCTGAGGGTTTTGGAACATGCAGAATACAAAAGTACTAACAGTAGTGTTGTGCGATTTACTTTACCACTTTTACGTTACACCTCATAATTTTGTTATTCTAAATTGATTGCCCTATTTATTTTTGTTGCATTGAATTGGGCTCGTCTAATTTAGTAAATTCTGTCTAATTTAGTAAATTCTTATGATATCAAACTTCTGTGTCTGTTAATTACTGAAGAGCGGCAAAATTGTCAAAAGTAAAATTCAGTTTTTGGAGAGAGATGTTTAAACCTGCAAAATTCAAAAATCGTATAATATTAAATATTTTTAATTGTGCTAACCTTTCACTGATACACTTTTAAAAGTTTTCTACGTTGAGAAACCTCCAAAATTCTGAGATGCTAAGAACTTTTTATCGCCAGTGGTAAATCTGGCAACACTGCATTTTTTCTACGTGTTCAAAACCCCCCAAGTATTGAATTTTATCGTTTCAGCTTCGGCAGTTTTGCAGATATTTAAGCGTTCCGGCACTTTTTACTAACCCTGTTTATATTTTGTTAAATGCCAAAATTATGAAAATGGACCATTTCTATTGGAAAAAGTGACTTAACGATTTTTTTATTTAATCTTTTAAGCAAATATAGAATTTTAAGAATATAATATTTGTTTTAATTAATTAATTTTATTTAATTTATTAATAGAATGTCAACGTAACTATAAATAAATTAATTAATTGTAGTACCTTTAGGGATTTTTTACCTGTCTTCATTGCACACTCTTCTTCTGCGTTGCCGCACAAATTTTGACTTTTTGGTCGTTTATAAGAAAATTCTATTTCTGTCGTCGAAAATTTAAATTTTTCACAAACAGTGCGTATGCTACCGAGTGTTTTATGAATTATGAATTTGACGAGAATTAGATGATGGAAAAAAGAATAAACTTTTTGTTTTTCCTTGATCATTTCAGAATTTAGAATTTTTTAGACCGGACCCTAACAGTTGAAATATAAGTGTCATATGAAATTAACTTTCAAGATATAACATAGCCTACTATAGAGCCTCAAATAAGATAAGATAATGGGGCGAACCACAATACATGCTACTATTAGAACTCGCTCGTATGTGCATATCTCTCGATACGCAACGGCGTTGTTGGTTCCTCGTTCCTCTGGGGTGAACGTCCTGGCAGCAGGGTTGCGGTAAGCGTCGAGAGGGACTTTGTAGGTCAATCGATTTATCAACGAATTGGGTTTTTGTTATACCTTTTCAACGAGTCCGTTTCATTTGTGGACATGCAACAAACAATTAAAAAATCGCTCGTAGGGTAATGTGATTCGGGGTTTTAGTTCGAGGTAAATAAAAATTATTTTTTTAACGTCATTCTTAAAAAAAATATCAAATCCTATATTACGTTTTAAAATCATACAGGCATACATAACGAACTAAAAAAAAACAATATCCTACCTATTTGCGAACTATTTACATTCTGCGTGTTTTGTTTTGATTGACCTGTGTTCGGTACCTACTCGCGACATAAAAAAATTAAAATGAGAATCTTGTTGTTTTCTGCGGGTCGAAAACTCTAGCAGAATTAAAAAGAACTACAACACAATAGTATTTTTTAAATATTACTTGATCTTAATTTTTCGACATTTTATTTAACGGTACCCCTCAAAATTCTCTGACAATTTATTTTAATCTCTCCATTTTTCAATTGATACTAAATTTTTCGTCAATCAAAACGAAACGCTCGGTAGATGGGAGTAGATGTGAAACCTGACGTCTTGCTATTCAGTGATGGTAAATGGCGGTACTGTGGCTCAATGCCGCGGGCAAAGCCACATGGGCGTGTTCTAGAGCCAACGGGGCATGTTCTATCGCGTAGGGGGCGTGTTCTATCGGCAGTGGGGCGTGAGCTACTGTTACTGGGGCGTGGGCTATAGTCAGGGGGGCGTGAGCTACGTGTTCGACGTGATGGAGCGGTTCCTTACTGACTACCGCATTGAATCCGTGGACGGAGTCGGCGGTGTAGTCGACGCGCCGTTTCGAGCCGTCTGGCTCGATTAAGGCGTAGCTACCTTTCACCACGTCGCCATCGCGGGTCTCCTCTTGCTCTTTGTAGTCTCCGGTGTGCGGGTCCTGAAATTCCAACCCTTCCAACTAAATTTATGAAAATTATGTATTTTTTAATTTTATGGCATTTTCGAATATATCTATTGGTTCTAAACAGGATGTGTGTCTCATAAACTCATCCGATACAGGGTGATAAAATCTGATGTGGAAATTAATCAATTTAGGAAATGTTTTTATATAGCAGAATACAAACATTTCAATATCATAGTCTCACCTTCACTCCATATTTGAATTCGTATCGCGGGTGGGCGTCGTAGGGTTCGGCTTTCACCGCCAGCGGGGCGTGGGCTATTGCCACAGGAGCGTGCGCAATCGCGAGTGGGGCGTGGCTCAACGCGTAATGGGCGGCAACTCCAATTGGTTCGTGATCCAGGATAGAAATGGGCGCGGCTTTGGTCGTGGTCGCCATGACGGCGCAGATTAGTACGATCTGAAATCACATTTGGTTTATAATGCCGGTACCAGAGTAGAGACTCCCAAACACATGTGACACAATTAAAACTTATTTTTTCTACTCCCGTCTGTAAAATACCTATTTTCTACTACCATCTGTAAAATACCTAATTACCCACCGATCTAGCGTGCGGGAAGCGTCATTTTATCACGTCTGTTTCGTTTCCCACGTATCCGAGCCATTTCGATTATCTCCGGGATTTTACACGGATTTGGGAGCGATTGGATGTTTTCGGAGATATTTCCCTCGCTTTGAATTTTGACGTTTGTCAATTCTGACGGTCATGTCAGTGAATGTATTTGTCGTAGAAAAAGTATAGTATGCAACACGTTCGGTAAAATTTTTAACTCGCTCGTTCATTAAAAACTCGCTCTGCTGCGTTCCGCTCGTGTCAAATAAAGTCGTTGCATAATATTTTTGCAATTGGATGATTTCTTGTTGCATAACATACTAATTTTTGCATTGTTTTATATGGTCCTGTATTTTACATTTTGTGCATATGTGCTTATTGTTTTGTTCTGGTCAAATTTACAATAAAAATACAAGCCTAACAGATGTTTATAAAAAGGCTGGTATATATATCATTTTGTTTGTTTGTTTTAATAATTGTAACATTGTAAAATAACATATTCATTCGTCTGGTATATCTGTTGCTTTAGAATAACTCGCGCAGCCTCATTTGAACACAACTAAGGGAGTTGTCAAAGAACGTATATTACATACGGCCTAATAAGATTTTTGTTTTTTGCTGTATATCTGTGTGAATTTTGCGAGCTAGTAATGGAAATTGTTTTCTTTGTCATCTACCTTAATACTACTAAGAGATTGTTTATAAATCGTTTGTGAATGGGTACTTCGGTTTCTTCTTTAAGCTAAGTGATATTTTTTGTATATTTTGATTACATAGTAATAATTTTATGTAGATTCTAATAAGAATTTTTGAAAATGGTAAATTTTTGTGTTGCATTTGGTTGTACAGGGACCTCCATTGGACCTGGGCACTGCTAACAACGATTTTTCGCATCCTATATAAAAACCGGAAAAAGAGAATTTTTTTTTGGGCGTATTGCATATTATAAGAGCTGAATCGGTGTTATAAATAACCTTATTGAGTCAATATGTAAATGTATTTACCTAATTGAAATATATATTAGAAATAAAAAATATATCATTATTTTGGTATTCTTTACCTACTGATTTGGTTGTCGATAAAATTTTAAAACAAAGTTTTTTTTTTCCTTTTTGCTAGAAATAAGAAATATTGGTTGAGTTATCCTATAAGTAAAATAAATAAATATGATTAACAAAATAAAATATTCCCTATAACAAAATCGAGATTTTATTAATTTTTACCGATATTGATTTTGAAAAATTTTAAGTCCTGAAATCAGAAAAATACATTTTTTAAAAACTTTACAAAGACTTCAATATTAGTAGCCGCTTCTATCGAATATATATTTTATAGATGTTAGATTACTATAAATTTTATTTTATACAAGTAGTATTGTTTTAATAATTTCATTAAGAATATGACATAAAAGTTTAGATGACGTTGACTGGTGGATGGGGGTGAGAGAGTAGACATATTTTTTATTATTTTGGTTCTTGAATCGCGCAAACCGCAATAGCGAAAAAAATAAAGAATGCGGAAATACCGCCCCGTTTCTGGCAATCATCCACTTGAGTCTCGTTTAAAAACGGTCCAGTAATTGAATCGTTCTAGAGATTTCAAAACTTCGTTACTCCTTCGTTTGTCACTCGACGTTAAGGGACTTGGATACGGCCGATAAAAGGGGGCGGGGGGGACAGCTCGATTACGTGGAGCGTGGGTAAATAATGGGGAGGCTTATTTGGTCCACGCATGGGGATATAGTGATTCGAGTTAAGAGATGGATTTGTTTGATCCAACGGTATTGGGCGGTAGGAAGTTTCGGCAAAATTACGTGCCACCGTGATTCTCGAAACTCGAAGGCCGCGTACACTGTACAGGGTGGACGAAGTTGGTCATTTTTAAATGCAAACTTTTTAACTGAGGTAGACGAAACCCAATGGCGATGTAAAAACTGCAGGTTTAAGAGTTATGGAGTGTTTTTCGAAAATGTGCATGAAAATTTTGCGTTTTTACAAATACATTGTCACAGCACATTTTTACGTATAAATTTAATAGTCAGCAAGCAGATATTTTTAGGATGACGAGTTTGATAGTAACGGCAAAATCGATTTTCTTTTCAGTTTTTGAGTCGTTGAAAATAATTTAAAATGACCTTATAATATTTCAAGGGCTATTTAGTGGTACTGTATGAAATATTATTTTTGAACAGCTCCTAAAATCACTAGTTTTTGTAACTCCATGTCTCTATTTGTTGCATAGTTTACTGGCCTTTTTTTCTAAAACTGAACACAGTTAATTCAGGTTGTGTCGCAGTCTTCCGAAAATATGTTGTTTGTGGTTTTCCCGGCTTTTAATCTTTTATAATTATTTGAAAGAGCAAACTAAAACTCAATGTATTGACAGCCTAAATCACTTGTTTTTTTGTATTACGCCCGGGTCGTATCAAGCCTACTTGTTCATAGTGATAAAAACTTGTATTTTGATTAAGTCTCTGACAAAATATCAATTTTTGGAAAGGTAGTTTAAAGTTCTATTCAATGATTCTAAATTATACAGGGTATCTCACATAAGAAAGCTATTTTGTCTGTTGATAACCATTAAACTACATATTAGTTCAAAAAAATATATGTACTTCAAGCACTAAAAGGGTGCTTAGGCAATGTTTTCCATAAAAACATAAAATGTTCCATGTCAGTAGAGTTTTTTATAAATGCACATTTTTCAAAAACACCCTATAACTTCAAACGGTATAGATAATCCGTATGCGGTTTTTGCCATTATGTTTTCGTCAATCTCCTTTAGGAACGAAAGTTGTTTAGAGCAACTGTAAATAGGCTAACGTCATAAGAAATACGTACATTATAAAAAAAAAACATATTAATTTTTATCTTCTAAGCACCCTTAAAATTTTTTAATATTTAAAATATTTTGGTAATTCGAAACTTGAAACTTTTGAAAAGATAGTTTTTCTCCTACTTATTCTGAAATGCTCAATTTTGCACTAATTAGACGTGCCCAAAGTGTCACTTTAAAACGTCGGTTCTCATTAAGCACTGTCGCGAGCTACTTCGAGCGTTTCCACTATTTTAGGCACGCGTTTATATACATATCGCCTTTTTCTGTAGATTTGAAACACTGATGGTATTTTTCTTTTCGTTTTTCAGTTCTGATGGTCACGTCACACGTTACTCAGTAAATGTATTTATCAACTACCGTTTATTGAACACTCGATCCGCCCGCGCCTAAACAAACTTGTATCGTTTATGGAACTCGCATAATGTACTGTTTTGCCTTTCCTACTTTTTTTATTATTTATTATCTTGCGTTTTATTTATCGTCTCCTTGCTTATTCTCCTTTTTCAAATTGCTGAGGACCCTTTCCTCTTCGGACATAAAACATTGGTCACATAATTACGTTTTTAAAATCTTTGACCAACCGCTTCCATCATTTTTTTTGCCGCCTTACCTTAAACATTTTTGCGTGATTTGGTTAACTTCGTGTTTCGCCCTGTGTAAAAGTTCGCAGGGAACTATTATGGTTTTTTTTTTCACTGACCACACCGTTTTACTGTTGCTGGGTATTATCGTTTTTCTGGTACTACTGCCCGTTTGGAAGACCGGCTCGACCTTTTATATCAAACGTGTACAGGGCGTTATGCAACGGCGGTGCACTTCGGGTCGCGTGCTGCGACGCTCCCCCCGTTCGGTGGAGACCGCACGTGCCTGCCTGGCCGCGGGGGGGACGCGCGCCGAAGAAAATAAATCGTACCACTCGATTTATATGTTAATTCGTCCGGTTTTGTTTTATTTGCGACCGGCTTTTCTTTTTCTTTTGCCGGTTTTCCGATTCGGTTATATATATATATTTCGCAACGTTTTGGGTTTGATTGCGGTTTTTTCCTACCCATTTTCGCGCTTTATTGCCGCCCCTGTCCAATATTGCACCTCGGAATACCATTTTTTCTATATAATACGGAAATTTTAGTTAGTTGTTAAAGGTACAGAGAGCCGTTGGTTAATAAATTGGGTTTCGGCTATCTGATTATATTTATTTATATACGTCTGTTTAATTGACACTAAAACTACTGTTTACGGTCTAAAATGTAGTATATATAACCATAAACAACTTAATAGAATTAATTATAAAACTTTTATATGACAAACTCCAAATAACGCCAAAAACTACAATATGAAAGAGTGGTGGGTTCTGTTTAAAATAAAGGCCCCTTCGATTTGGCGTTTACGGAGTACGGAAAATAGATTTATTTAGTTTAGTTTTTCTAAGCATATTCATGGAATTAAAATATTTTGAACGATGTGTCTATCGATAACATATGGTAACACATGACCAAATATCGAACTCAAAATTTTGTTAAATTTTTAGATTCCCTGCTTTCTTCGGATTTAATTTTGCTTAGCGCTTTCCTATAAATATCTAGGGCGGTTTTCCTTTTTTTTTCTCCAAAGCACCAAGCCGAAACTTTGGCTGTAGTTTACGAAAGTATATCACATTTACCTCTACGTTTTTTTTCTCCTTATTTTACGGGGTCGTTATTTGAAAATAGTGATTGTTCCATGACACAAAAAGAATAAATTAATTATTTTTCCAAATGGAACTCCCTGTCGATTTGTAGATCTTCTCAAAAATGAAAGTCCTCGATGCCAAAGTTTTCAATGATATTTTATTAATATTAAAAATAAATTCAATTTTTTTTGGATTGTTATTATTATTATTATATAAAATGAGATTTCAACGCGTCTGCGGCAATTTGAAGAAAATATCGTGAACGTTTTGGCATACTTCCATGTTATAAGAAGTACACTTTGACTTCTCTAAAATTATTATTAAACATGTCGTTTATGGGTAATTAATACATGTTAAGATAATGAGTTTTTATAATTATTGCGATTATTTCGAAAGCCTTATGACATGGGTATACTAGTGTCATACATCATTCGATTATCTTTTATGTATCTTTCAGAAGTTTTGATAATATCCTCGGTATATTATAATTGAAAAAAAAAGAAAGATTTTTCCGTTTTTCTGTGGCACATCAGACTTACTAATTTAACACTACCCTTTATAATATAGACTAAATGTATTTAGGTAAGTCTATTTTTCAGGGCTTTTGCAAACATCGGTTTCCTGTGGGTTCAAATACTACATTAAAGTGATTCTAAAAATGTAATAAAATATAGGGTATGCTATTCAAGGTAACGATGTTAAAATCGGCAACGTTGCATCGTTCAAAATGTTTTAATTCAATAGGGCGGATTAGAAAACTTAGGCATCCAAGTTAAAAATATATATACTCTCCGATGTATGTACGTACACATAATGAAAAATTTTATCGGTCCTTGTTTCAAACTTTCAGCGTAACAAAGATAATAATGTGCCGAGATCATTGGAATCTAAATGTGATGAAAAATGATACTCTGTTGCCATATTTCTCAAAGATTTTTGCATTGCTACGTACTAATGCAAGTAAAGTCTTTGCCCAGGCACTCACGCCATTATAACTCTCACTTCCATTCCTTTGAAACTTCGGACGTTTGATAATGTTTTTGGTATACGGTATACGGGATTTCTCCAAATCCGATTTCCTATTTTTAAAATATTTAGGACATTGCCGCATTGCCGCATCTACTCGAACAAGACAGATCTTCGTTTTTTAAAGAGAATGTCCTGTATATTATCACATTTTCGAATTCTATAAAACTTTCTACGTAACATATGTGGTAACTTTATTGAGGTAATTTAGAGATAAAAATTATTTTCTATAAAATTTTGCCATAGATCATGGAAATAATTTCAACCATTTTAGGAAAAAATCTGAAATTTTATTTATGACGTAAGATATGTTATTGCATACATACATATCGCACGTTTTGTAAAATAGCTGTTTGTAAATTAAACCTGAATTTCAAATGTCTTTAATTGCGACATAAGAACTATTTATTGATCTAAAGTATTATAACATACACGTATTTTGAAACTTTTTCGAGTAAAAAGTAAAAAACTAAGATAATACATTTTATAGTAGTAGGCCGTAGCGAACTTGATAAAATTTATTTTTTACAAATCTTCTGAATTGTTTCTGCGTCCGTTGTGTTGATAAATTTTAATTGCTGACATTTCGAAAAACCATCCTGTTTGCTTCTTCAGAACTATCTGAAAACTGCTGTCCAACGTTCCATCTAAAAAATGAGGTTGATGTTTATTTTTGATGATGATGATTTTAAATGACTGCCTTATATCCACTTAAACGAAACCATCGAATTTGGATAACCCTGTATATATAATATGATATCACAAATCAAATCTCCAAGCAAAGAATTTGTCGCGCTCGCGACTCTCGATTGTAAAACGAAAAACATTTCTAGCGCTGCTATATACGGCAAAATCGTTTTTTTTTGCAAGGCTCGGCGATTTTATTTCATATTTATATTGATATTGGTTTATCAATAATTCATATTTACCATAATATTTGTATCGGGTTACAGCGAGCGAAAATGTTTCGATTTTGTTGTGGCGCGTTTTTTTCATTGTTAGAACTGCTTCAGGAATTTTTCGCCGTTGCCCAATGTTGCAGTATTTTCACGTAGAAGCAGTGAAGAATTTTATTTGAAAAAGATGGGCGATTGGTTCGCATTTTTTCTTTTTGCTTTTTTTTTGTGTGGATCAAGTCAGTCCCCAGTACAGCTTTTAAAAGCAAGGAGTATTTATTGTTCTTAATTTCCTTATGATTATGTGAAGTAATTATTCAAGGTATTTTTGCTAATCATGGCGGAATCACTTTATTGCGTGGCAGGTACACTTCCAAAGAAGTCCAGAACATCAATCAAAATCAATAAAAAAATTAGCAGAAATCCTGGAGATGTATGTGTGTATGTACAGGAGATATTTTTTTAAATTCTTTTTAAAACTTTTTTACTTTTCCAATATTTTAATTTTTCTAAAAAAAAATACTAGTTTTTATACTTGCAAAAAAATTACGATAGCGCCGTTATTTTTAAAAGAATCTGATTTAAATATTACAGATTTTACAAAAACCTTCAAGTATGTTTTTTAACCTATTTTTAATATTTTTGCTCACAAAGTACTAAGGGTAGGTATATGACGTATTTAATAAAAACTGTAGGTTTTTCTAAGATCTTTCGGAAAAAATATATGTGCCATTAACAAAATCGAGATTTTTCAATTTTTGGTTCAAATATATTCGTTTAGTTTGAACACTCTGTAGCATCTAATTCAAATTACGTTGTTTATATCTTTTACGTCTTCTTCGAATAATGCTAACCTGTATACTAATAATTTGAAATTGTGTAACCCAAAAATCTTTACAACTTTTATCGGAATTCATGAAATTAAAAAAAACAACTAGATATGGGTGTTTATATCGCTGTTTAGAAAGAAAATGGGGCGAAGTGTCTGAAATTTATTTAACTTATATAATGAAGATAGATGGCATGTTTCTGTTTTAATATCTTGACGGGCTCAGACAATGTTGGCAGTGGTGGAAATTTTCGGTTTTTTTTTACCGATACGCTATCCACAGAATACACATAACATAATAAATAGTTCTTTTTTTTAACGATAGCGATATGGTTTGTAAAGGCCCCCACAGACGCTCAGTTTTTTAGCACAGACCAACTGTGCAGGCCAATTTGTGCAGTTTAACTGTACTATTGTCTGTCCCACACACACGCAGTTTTATAGCACAGTTCTTTCTATACAGCCAACTGGGTAAATTCACACTTACTAGTTTCGGCACGGTTTTTCTATACTTAGTAAATGAAAATGGCTTCTCGAGACACGGCATTATATTGCATTGTGCTTGCAATAAAGAAAAAGCAAAAAAAGCATCGGTTGGTTGAAAGAAGCAAATGAACCAAAGATTGAACTTTTTTGACTGACCGTATTAGTGTTTCAATAATATCCTATTACCTTTATTCCATGTTCTTCATCGTCTAGGTTACTCGTTGAGGCATGTGGTGTCTCTTGATCACTTAAGAGCAGCAATTCATAATACCACAAGTTTGGAGTATAAATATCTTCTGTACCGGTCCCACTTACTTTGCTTTTCAATATTTTTTTTAATTCTTTCCTAAATGAACTACTTAAATGATTTATTTTTTAACCTAGGCTTCCGTATTTGCTCCCGTACCAACTTCTTTGAGTTTTTCGACCATCATACGCTGCGGACTTTTTATGGTAACATGGTAAGCTTTCGTATACCTCAATAAAGTCGCTTAAAAACCGTTTGTTAACATTCGTCATTTTGTTGCTTACTATTTTTGGATTCTAAATAAACCTTAAAACTGAACAAATCAACTGAACGAATCCACACACGCTCAGGTTTCCAAGTTTGCGCAGACTAAATTCAAGCACGGTCTGATTTTGCTCAGGCCAGACCAACGGCCTGCGCAGTCGGCCGGACGTTCACACAAACGCACCGATATGCCTGCACAAACTAGGTTGGCACAGGCGGCCTGTATTAAAAAACTGAGCGTCTGTGGGGGCCTTAAGAAATGCCTACGTCAATATAGGAAAGTTTTTAACATCTTGTACTACATCCCATTTTTCTG